CCCCATCTGCCAGTTTCTTAAAGACCCTTTTGGGTCATACGAATGAACTCTTAATTCTTAGAAAAATCACCTCCCTGGGGAACAGCTGTGAGTCCACCGGGAGTGGGCAAGGGCTAAGCCAGACCCTGATGGTGGCCCTGGTCATCCTGAGGGACCCTGCTTGCTCATTGCCCCTGCCCTGTGAGGGAGTGGACTTTGGGGAGCCCTGTGCTGGCCCACATCCTGTTTCATTCCCAGGGGATCCCTCTGAGAGCCTTTTACACTGGGAGGCCCATCTCAGGCCTGAGTCCCCAGCTCCAAGGGGCCGTCCCCCGCCAGGGCCTGACCTAGCTCTCGCTTCCCCCTGGACGTCGTGTCCTCTCCTCCCATGGCCAGTCAACATTCAGTTTCTTTTAGACCCCTGACCCGCATTTTCACATGACCCTGTGGTCAGACTGTCTCTTACTTCTTCTTGTGCCTTTGCGCTTGACTCCGGTGAGAAGTTGAGAAAACCTGCTTACCGTGTTGAAGCCGTCAGGGGCTTTCATGACCCCACGGCCCCATCAAGGTCACCGTCATCCCAAACCTAGTTGGTCGCCTTGGTCTTGCCTCTTTCAAGCCAAATCTTTCCAGTGCCGAGGCCAAATCAAGGTCATGGCAAAATGAAGTAACTGCCTGATTAACACCCTCCCATCTTCCCATCGTAAATACACTCTGACCTGGGCCTCTGAGGCTGTGTCTGTGTCATCAGGTTCCTACAGATCTCCCTCAGGGACAGTATTCTCTGCTCAGGGACTTTGCACCTGCTGTTCCCTCCGATGAGGGTGCCCTCCCCCCGGTTCTTCTGAGGTGGTCTCCCTCTTCTATTTCAGGCTTTGTTCTCCTCAATAGCCCAGCACGTTCCCCAGTACATAGTAGGTGCTCAAGAAATAAAGCCTTCAAATGCTATGGGTTCTCCCAACTTCCTTACTCATTTAGTTGATCAAGAAAGCTTCCTTCTTGAAAATTTCTCCTCGGAGGGTCTTCCAAGGCTCTAATTTGTTCTGGGACATCTGGTGACTCTCTGTACCCCACCTCATCTTCCTCCCAACCCCCCAAAACACGGACCTCCTCTAGATCTGGGGACAGATCTTTCCCAAGTCCCTTGGCCGCTGGCTGACAAGTTCACTGTATGTCCACAAGCATTTGCCAAAGAGCAGTCGTGTGTCAGGCTGGTGGAGGGACAAAGACAACCCGAAAGGTTGTAGGTGACAAGCCACCGACTAGAGCAGGAAGTGTGTGTGCACACGCCCTACAGCTGGGGGGGGGGG